CAAAGTAAAACAAATATTCAAGATCAAAACAGACAAATTCATGTGGCTGTTTGTTGGGATGGGGATATGTTAGAGTAAATCTGAACTATGAAGAGAGAGGACCGTTTTAGGCCAGGTTGGGATATACACAGCTGGAAAAAAAAAAAAAGGTGTGTGTGGGGGGTGGGGGGTGTTAACTTTGCCTGGGACTGTGTTTACAACAGGGAATCAACTACACTTAACAAAGTTAATCAAGACAATCACTTTTCTGTCTAGTGAGAACTACAGATAATTCTAAGTTGTCAAGTGCACACACAGATGAGATACAAATATATACACACATCTGAATAATCCTGACTGATGTGGTGGTTTGGGTGTCAGGGTAAACCCAGAAACCTGGACAAGAGCAAGTATGCTAATGAGACTTAGTGATTCTTCCCAAAGATTCCCCAACACCATCCCCTTCCCTATAGACTTGGAGGCGTATTCATTATCATTCAGGCAGAGTTAGTTTTCAGGCCACCATCCTCTGCCCAGGCCACTTTATCCACCTGGAATGTTCTCCACCCATGTAGACAAACACTACCCATTCTCTGGGACTCAGCTTCTCCTCTCCTCCTTTGTATGGTATTTCTGAGTCAACTTGTGGCATCTTTCCCTCTTCTGAACTTCCAGAGTTTTATAATTACTTGGCAAATAAACACCTAGGCTCTAGTCAGCTTCTCTCTTCTGTTGTTTATTTTTAACCAATAGAAACTGTCACCTTTCTTCTCTTTGAGGTACAAAAGGCACATTTTATTCATACGTCTTTGGATCTATCCATCTCATCCTCAGAGTACCTCAAGCAAAGTAAAACTAAAATAATGTAGTTTAGGACTGCATAAATATTCCACCTTTTAAATAGTAGAATTAAATATTTTGACATATGTAGGACAGAAGTTAGAGTCACCTTAGTTATCTAACAACAGCCTAACCTGTTGCAACAACAACAAAAAAATCCATTCTAATTGTTCTCCCTCAATTTTCTTGAAAAAAAAAAAGCCACAGGATTGGGGTAGAACATTTGCCTAGCATGCACAAGGCCCTGGGCTATATCATCAGCACTGCTGAAAAAAAATTATTATTTTTTGGTCGTTCATGGGGTCTGAACTCTGGACCTGGGCACTGTCCATCAGCTCTTCAGCTCAAGGCTAGCGCTCTAACACTTAAGCCACAGTGCCACTTCTAGCTATTTCTGCTTATGTGGTGCTGAGGAATTGACCTCAGAGTCTCATGCATGCAAGGTAAGTACTCTACCACTGAGCCACCTTCCCAGCCCCCAAATTAAAAAAAAATTAAAGCCATAAGGATAGTTCTATAACAGTTAGACTCTAAGCTTTTAAATCCCTCTTTCTTTCCTTTACTCCCTCTTTCCACTTCCTTCTCTCCCTCCTTTCTTATCTTTCTTTCTGATTTTTTTTCCAAGACAGGATCTCACTTTGTACTATAGGCTGGCCTCAAACTTCTGATCCTTCTGCCTCAGCCTCTTGAGCTCTAAGATTATAGACATGTGCTATGTTCCTGGTTTAAGCCTTCAATTTCAAATTTGGATAATTCTGCTGGGTTCTGAAAAATGTCATCTAGACATGACATCTGGAGGTTAAAATAAATGGCTTCATATCCAACTATCATTATAATGCCTTTGTGCAATATGTATTTAATAAAAGTACTTAGTCTGATAAACGGAGATAACTATAAACTGAGTGACTAAATTATTAAGAATTTTTAAAGCATACAAGTTTCTTTCATAGGAAAAGGGATAGAATCTCAAATAATCTTGAATATGCCTCATCTATGAAATTACTATTTAATGTCTGTCTCATGAGCACTTGAGAACACTTTTAAGCAACATGGCTAGGAAGTGTTTCCCATTCACAAATATTTGAAATTACATATATTAACTAAAATAACCCTCAAGACAACCCAAATTCTTTAGATAGTGACACTAAGAGATTTGAGTAGTTTGTCCATAGACCACAGCAAGAAAATGTTAGAAATAGAAATTGAATCTCAATAATCTGACTCTTAACCATTGTTGTAACTATTATTGGTTAAGCTGGCATAGCGTTATGCCATTTTGATTAATATGGTATTTGAAGTCATTTCTATAAAAGTTAGGTATCCAAACTTTGGTCAAAATGTAACATGCAAGCCAGGCATGATATCTCATGCCTACAATCCCTAGAAAGCTTAGGCAGGAGGATAGTTATAGAATAGGTCTGCACATAACAAGACCTTATATAAAAGGGGGGGGGGTGGGCAGGGAGTGCAGCTCAAGTGGTAGAGCACCTGCCTAGCAAGCACAAGGCCTTGAGTTCAAACTCCAGTTGTAGCGTCCCGAAAGGTAACATGCTATCATAATGGTGTGAACATATAAATCTGATTCCAGTTGCCCCTCTGCATCTCTTGCTCTGCATCCTTCAAACAACAGAATGTCAAAAATACGTGGAGAAGCCAGGCACCTGGAGCTCATGCCTGTAATCCTAGCTACTCAGGAGGCTGAAATCTGAGGATTGCAATTTGAAACCAGCCTGGGCAGGTAAATCCCAGAGACTCTTATTTCCAATAAACTACTTAGAAAAAGCCGGAGCAGTTCTGTGGCTTAAGTAGTAGACAGCCTTAAGCAAAAGCAGTTTAGGGACAGTCCCCAAGCCTCCAGAGTTCAAGCCCCAGGTTTGGAGGCAGGGGCTTGGAGAAAAAATTGTGTCTATGCTGAACATGTATGAACACTGACTTTTGTCGTTATTTCCCAAATAATATACAACTACTCCCACGTTGTATTCAGTATTATAAGTAATCTAGCAATGCTTTTAGATACACAGAAGAGGCTGGGGATGTAGCTCCGTGGTAGAGCACTTGTCTAGCACGCACAAGGCCCTAAGTTCGATTCCAAGTACTGAAAAGTTATATGTATATGTATATAATGTATGTATACATACATAAAGATGTGCACAAGCTATATGGAAATACATTAGTCCTCTATTACCCAAAAATTCACTTCCTGCAATTTGTTATATGCAGTCAGCAAAGGTGAGAATAACTATGAGGGAGAAGCTCATTCACATAACTTTATATTATAGCATACTGCTACAGTAGTTATATTTTATTATTAGTTATTATCTTACTGTGTCTAACTTGTGAATAAATGTTATAAATGTGTAAATACAGGAAAAACATGTAATTCTATTTGGGATTTGAGGCATACACGGGAAAGTAGGAGTCTCTTGAAATGAACCCCTTCAATGTAGACATAAAAGGACTACTTTACTATATTATTTGGCCTCCAACTCAAAACACTCCCTGTCCCCACACATATCCTTTTCAGCTGCTGGAGTAGCTGGGATTACAGGTGCCTAAGGCTTGACTAAGTCTCAGATTTTAGACTCTGCAGGGAGTGAGTCCTGGAACCCAAAATGTTAATAAAAAACAATAAAAATAAAAAGCAACTATATAGCAGGATGCAACACTTTATTCAGAAAGATACAGTACAACTCAGACCATCTAACCTTGGAAAACTTAGAATCCTAGCACCTGAGCACTGAAAGAAATCCAGGAGATCCTCATGTTTTACAAATTAGGAAACTAGCCCATGCATCAACTCAAGGTCAGATTATGGGAGACAGGTGTAACACTCAACCTGTGCTCCTGCTCTACTACCACTCTGCCTCTGGGACAAGACCGAGGATGCCTGATCAAGAACAGATGAAATCATGTGGTTTGCAATTGCAAAGATTAAACCGGTTTGTGTGTTTGTTTGTGTGTGGGTGTGTGTGTCAGAGAGAGAGAGAGTAAGACAGAGACAGAGAAAGACACAGAGAGAAAGAGACAGAGAGAGAGCAAGAGAGACACACACAGAGAGAGAATTCTGAAATTAGGGTTGGCAGTGGTAACTAATATGAAGTGGTGTTAGTTAAGCATCCAACACTTTTTAAGTTGAGGGAGTGATTGTCTCACTATAAACTTTACAAGAAATGAGGCAAAGCTTCCAGGAAAAATACACCCAAGTCCCTGCAAAAAAAAAAAAAAAGAACAAGAAAGAAAGAAAAGAAAACACAAAACACACACACAAAAAGAACCAAAAACGTGAGCTATTCTGAAATTCCCTTAACTGTACTCTTTTAAAAGTCGAACTGCTTTCGAGTCCTGCTTAGACACAACCACATGCATTTGTTCTAAGACAAATTCATGGGGGAAGCCCACGCTGGGGCCTTTGGAGTTGTCACTACCTTCCCTAGGATGTCAGTCACACAAGGGCTCCATCTATAACTCCTGGACAAGAAAAAAAAAAAAAGCAACCAAACTGAAACCGTGAACGCCTTGTCAATTTCAGACCGTTTACTTTGGCACTGGCCAAGTCCTCGCAGTCTCTTCGATGTCTGGAAACGTGTCTAATTACGTTGAGTAAGTAACTTAAAAAAAAAAAAAGAAGAAGAAGCCAGTGGCCAGGAATGGACAACTCAGGGATCATCCCACAGCATCTTGAACGATGATAATGGCATGGACCCACGCCAGGTAAAGCGAGCAGAAGAAAAGCAGCAAGTATGAAACGGTGCGTGGGGGGGGATACACCGCCAGCTTCTCCCCCCCCTCGGGGGTGGGGTGGGGGCCGAGCCGACGCTCCCCCCAAAGTTTCTCTTTTCCTTCACTTGGGTTTCCATGAGGTCACAGGGCCCCGCCCACAGCCCTCACCTGGCGCGGGGCGGGCCGGGGCGGGGCCCGACTCTCACCTCCGAACTCAGCTGTTCCCCCCCCCACGACACCCACCCACGGCCTCTCCGGAAAGGCCCGGCACGCCCCCCCATCCCCACGCCGCGCGCGCCCCAGCGGCGTCCTCTCTGTCCCCGGAAGGCGCGACCCCTGTCACCGCCCTGGGGCGGCCGCGCGCCCCCCCGCGTGGCGTCCCCGCGCCTCAGCAGCACCGGGAAAGCTAAGTCCCGCACCCACCCACCCCACGCCCGGTGCGCAGCCACCCCGCCCCTCACCTGAGCCGGAGGTTGGCCATGAACTCGGGCATGGTGACGGTGTCCATCAGCACGAAGTCCGCCTTGCCGAACTCCAGGCTCTCCTGCTCCGCCATGGTGCCGGCCCCGCGGGCTGAGGGGGGACGGTGAGGGGGGAGGTGGGCGCAGGCCCGGCTCAGGTGGGCGCGCTCGGGCCGCGGGGGCCGCTGCGGAGGCCCGGGGACAGCTCGGGCGGGGCCGGGGCGGGGCCGCTCGCTGAGGAGCTGCGGGGGATCCCGGACTGACCGAGTCTACCGCCGCCGCGCCTCGGCGCTCTCCAGGACCCGCGCGGCTCCCGGAGGGTGCAGCCGACGGTTTCCGCTTCTCTGGTGGTGGCTGCCCTGCCCGGCGTGTTGGGGGGCCAAGGAACCGAGACGGAGACGACGGCGGCGGCTGGTCCCGCCTCTGGCCTTGGTCTCGCCCGGCTCCGCCCCGCCCGGGCCTCTCTGGCTCCGCCCCCTTCGGAGGAGCCCGCCCCCCCCCCGCCCTCGTCCCGTCTCAGCTCAGCCACCGCCTCCTCACCTGGATGGCGCGCACGCGCGGGACGGGGGCGCGCCTCGGGTTAGCCGCAGTGGTTGGATCGCAGCGCCCCCTTGGGACCAACATTGGAATGTCAGGCGGAGGAAGGTGCAGCCGCTTTAAGTCCACTAGTTGGAATCAGGTTTCTAGAATAAAACCCGCCTTCTGCCCTGGCCTGCTAAATGACAACAAATGCTCACGCATTACCCATCTTTGAAGTGCTGGCTCAAGCGCAGATGATAATAATAGCTAGCGCTTTGAGGTCACCAAAAATTGCACAGTGCTATTCTAAGTGCTTTACTGAATTTGTCACAGCTAAGAAGAGGAGATGCTGCAACTTCAGACAGGTCATTTGACTTACGAGCCCCAGCATTCAGTCACATAGGGAGAACTGCTTCCATTCCTGGTGATCCACTTTCTCTTCTCATCCGAATGAGTCAACAAATGTTATCTTGTCATTAAACATTTTAATACACATATCATCACCTCTTTAGGATTATTGTAGGCCTCTGGCACTTGAAATTATGTCCTTAATTTCTCTTTTTTTATTGTGAAAATATTGTACAGAGGGGTTACAATTACATGAGCAAGATAATGAGTACATTTCTTATCAAGCATTGTAGCCTCCTCCTTTGTTTCCCCTTCCCATCCCATCCTCCCCCTGCCCCCAATGTCCTTAATTTCTTGATATCCCTTTTGGTGCCCATCACTTGTGCCTTGCACAAGTTAAGTATGAAATCTGTCCTGGCTGAAGGCAATGAATTGCATTATAAGTGGTATCCAGTTATAGCTACATTAGGTGGCTTTGGAGAATTTTTTTAAAACAATGAATGCATTTTTCCCAATGAAAAAGACATCCTAAGGCATCCATACCTTTCTTGCTCTGTGCTTCCATTAGGACCATCTTCTCTTGCAAAATCTAGGAGGAAATCTAGAGCTCTGCAAGGACCTGGCTGGGCTTCAGCTCCCTGGCTGAATTTGAGATGAGTAAACTAGACTGAAGGACCTTGTTCAATGCCTTCTACAGTTGCCAGCAACCCACACCTGCCAAGAGAGAGAAAGGCAGCTTGATCACCTTCAAGGAGCACCTCTGCCATTAGAAAACCACCCCAGCCCCTGGCACAGGCTGAGGTAGCTGGGCTGCAGTCTGGCTACCACGAACAGTTTTGCTTCTTTAGAATATACTTGTATGGATCCCAATGTCCTCAGTTGTGGGAATAAGAGCTCTGGGCTAGACACTCCCAAGGTAGGATTGTCTAATGTCATTTGTGTGTGTGTGTGTGTGTGTGTGTGTGTGTGTATCAGTGGTTAAGCATGCAGGTGCAAAGAGTATGCCTATGGTCCTAAAATGTTTACATTGGTGTGCTTTACCATAGCAGAACTAAGCTTCACAAAAGGGAAAGAAATAGATATCAAATTCTGTGTAGTTTGTAGCAACCAAGGAACACACCCAAAAACCAATTGTTAAGTAGATGTATGTGTTGTCTGTGAGATCTGGGTTGATAAAGACTCCTAAGTACCAGGAAGAGATATTAAGGATTGCAGATGAGGAGAGCATTGCAGAAACTGTTTGGGGGTGGAAACCATAGAGGGATATTGTGCCTTTTTTATACCCAAATAAAGAGAACTTTGTTATAATCAATATCTTTCAAAGAAGCTCCAAATAGGAAATAAAATGCATGCTATGTACCAAAGGTATTTTTTTAATTAATTTATGAATGTGACTGTCCCAAAAGCTCACTATTGATTCCAGTTTAATTGTGTGTGTGTGTGTGTGTGTGTGTTGGCTGTACAATATTGAGAAAATTCTGATATACATGGTTCCCTTGCAATTTGTTACTTGTATAAGTTTACATTCAGCCCTTTAAGGCATGCAACTTTATTAATCAATGGCCACACTTATACCAAGTCCAAATACATGCCGACAAAGCAGAGGAGACTAAGCAATGTGTTCTGCATTCCAACAAAGTAAACTAGAGAAGTTTATCTCACGATTAATCTCCTTTGTGATAAAAGTTGAACAGAAACACATCTGGCTATGTATGTTTCTTACATGGTTTCAGATAGATTTTTTTAAAAACCACAAAAGTTCCCATTATCAATAAGACCCACTGACACTGTAAATTTCCTGGTGTGATCTCCTACAAAAGATACAATCCTGCTTACCTGCTTATTATAACACACACACACACACACACACACACACACACACACACACACACACACACGAGCTGAATGGAGTCATGAAGAAACAGCAAATAAATCCACTTCAAACAACAGCCTACAAAATGATGTTTAGTCTGTGCTCTTCCAAAGTATCATTGGTGAGAAAGGCAAAAAGACTGAGACCTGGTATTATTAAAGACAAACAAGGAGACATCACTGCTAGTGGTAATGTGTAATCCTCTACTGGACCTTGGACCAGGAAAAGGTAAAGAGTAATTATTGGGACAACTCGTGAAAGCAAATGCATATTAGACAGTACTATAGTGTCAATGTTAGTAATCTGATCCTTGGAACTGGTATTCTTTAAGAGAATATTCATGTTTTAACCCATACCTTCTGAAAGTATTTAGGAGTAAAAGATATGAGATCTGTTTGATAAAAATCACAGCAATCATGTTAGTAATCTGAATCTGATCTTTGGAACTGGTATTCTTTAAGAGAATATTCATGTTTTAACCCATACCTTCTGAAAGTATTTAGGAGTAAAAGATATGAGATCTGTTTGATAAAAATCACAGCAATCATCATGAGATGAAGAGAAGAAGAGGACAATATGTGGAGAGATATAAATGAACAAAGCAAATGTTAACAATTGGTAAAGTAATTAAATAAGTAGTAGTTTTTGTATTACACTCAAAACTTTTCTGAAACTATTTTTCAATACAGAAGTTGAAAAATCAAATAACTCAAGACTCTTAGGAAATTTTTAAGTTTATTTGGGAAATATTAAATGACACTTAACAATGAAAGTCAAGCCCAAAGTCTGCAGATCTTCCAGAACTGAAGACTCAGCAGGCACTTTGAAAGCTCTGATCCAGGTATCTGTTAGCTCAGATAGGATAGATAGGCTAGGAGATCATAAACACTGAATGGCAATTCTACCAACAAAAATAAGTAAATGCTTGCTTTAGCTGATAAATATACCTTTGTACACCATCCTGTTCTCTGCCTGAACTTGTTTAACTTACAGTTCCCAATCCTCAACCTTACAGTTTAGCTAACTTCAGCTCACCCATTCCCTCCCATCTTCAACCTCACTTCTTCCAGGATGCCTTCCATGGTCTCCTGAGTCAGAATTGGCTATCCCTTCCCTTCTCCCCTCCCATCCACCCTCCCATCCACCCTCCCTCCCCCCACCAGCATTTTTAAAATGCCACTCCTATTAGAACGGAGAATGGTCTTGAGCCTGTTGACTAGTTTTTAAGGGCCTTGAGGTCTGGAAGCTCTCTTAATAAGTACTTGCTTGATAAATAAGTGTGGAATGGTCTGTGTGAATCTGGAGATCACGTAATAAGTTGTAAAGCCACTCCCTTGTTAGATTTTCTCTTCATGAAAATTAGTCATTGAGCCAGGCACTGGTGGCTCATGCCTGTAATCCTAGCTACTCAGGAGGCTGAGATCTGAGGATCACAGTTCAAAGCCAGCCTGGTCAGGAAAGGCTATGAAACACTTATCTCCAATAAACCAGCAGAAAAGCTGGAAGTGACCCTGTGGCTCAAGTGGTAGAGCACTAGCCTTTTGCTGAAGAGCTGAGGGACCATGCTCAGGCCCAGAGTTAAAGCCCCATGACTGACAAAAAGAAAAAGAAAAAAGAAAAAAAAAGAAAATTAGTCATTGCATACTGAATTTGCCTCACTTGCATTTCCTGCCCCAGAAGCAAATATCAGGGCTACACATACTTCTCCTCGGGCCAATGCCTATGTTCACACTGTCCAAAATCTGCTGTTCTGAAACCCTTCTAGAGTGGCCTGCTGCTGTGTCTGCTCTGGGTTATCAGTGACAAATCGACTCTGAATGTTCTACTGTGAGTATTTGCTCCCTTCTATTTCCCAGCATGCTCTGGACAGCCCCACCTTCCTTTTATCTCCCTTGACCCAGGGTTCTGCATTCAAGGAAGATAATTCTTTCAGCATGAGTCTACTAACATGGAAACAAGAAGACCAGGAAAAATAGTCACACAGAATATTCAAAGGGCATTTTAAAGCTATTTGATAAGCACATATTATTATAGAGCAGAAATAGTAAGGCAAATTTGCATTGCAAAGTAATTTTACCATGTACATACAGAAACAAGTTTTACATAGTATTACAAACATATTGCCTCCTTATACATGGAGGATGCTAGATTTGAACTAAGAATGATACAACAAAGATAGTGTATGTGTTCTTTGTGGTTTCTAAAGCTTATGTTTTAAAAGTGGAAACACACCCTTTCTGATGTCATTGATGACCTTTTGCCTACCTCTAGACCTCTTTTCATACCCACAGCATCCTGACACTCCATGAACATCTTACAGGACAAAGAAAATGGAATTTCACGGTGGAGGAGGTACTGATGTA